TATATTTATGCACAATATTAAGTCATCTTCGGTTATTAGATACTCCATAAGAGTAATTGGAATGTGGTGGTGGAAATCATAGAGCTTACACCTCTCATTCGCTGGTATTCAGCATTTCCAGAACAGTGTATGCAGCTTTCTGGAACTGTTCCTTCTCTTCCTCCAAGCTTTTCTTCCTTTCAGAAGCAAAGCCTTTGCACGTCTCTACCTCTTCCATTATTCGTGAAGAGTTTTGATCAATTTCACTGCAGAAATTTATTCAAAAGGTAAACAGAACATAACAGAACATAGTGTTAGGAGAAATACGGTGTCTGCAACAAGCTAATGATTTATTAACACACGTCTCCCCTTTGAAAAGAATGTCCAAAGAGAGAGTGACTGAGTGAGGCAATACAAAAATGTCGGATCCCAAAAATAAAGAATAAGAAGTCCAGGAGAAGGACAACATTGCCCGTCTGTGCTTAACAAATTCATTTTACCTGCTATAAACTAACAGCGAGTTATGAATTCTCGAAAATTCAGTTTCTCACCGAAATGATAATAAAAAGAGTACAGAAAACAAGAAAAAGAGGAAAGCAGAAAGCAGATATGCATGAGAATACATTAAATATTTCTTTATCTAATTTTTCACAAGGCCTAAGTTCAGATATAGAAATAAAACTAGTTAACAACTATTCCAAGAGAAAGTTCCACATCGCCATTATTGGCCAATGAAGTAACAAATAACGATTCACTTACTTTATCATCTTAAGCATATTCTCCATTGCAATCTGAACTTGTTGCGACAAATCCGTATTAATTAAATCCAAGTCACCAACTATTATTGTGCGAGATAAACAAATATAAGGAAAATAACACGATTGGAGAAAATTAAATTGTAAAAGCTTTACAAGGACGTATTCATAATAGTGAAATCTGTCTGTTCAGCTTATCATCCCTGAAAATGTCCAGAATCCAAAAAAAATGACAAAGAAAACAAGCGATCTCAAGAAATTAACAACGGCCTATTCATTTTCAAAATGATTCAAGCCGACCTTCACGTTTCACACCATTTCTTAGATAACTTGAATTACGCAGGTAACGATGACGGAAAGGTTTGTTCAACGTGAAATTAACATGCGATCATTGAAAGGAGAAATCACGTAACGAAAGAGAACATTGAATGTAGTTTGAAATTGTAAGCGAAAGGCAAGTTATTATTGAACAGAAGGAAGAGGAAAAAATAAGGCAGAGATTAACCGTAAACGAGAGAAGAGAGGACAGATTAAGCTTCTTCTGGCGCAGGCGGAGGAAGCGACTGAGCATCAACCTGCTGAGATGGTGAACTCGCCATTTCTTCTTCCTTTCGAGCTTTCGAGTGTTTTTGGTTTGATTCAGTATGATACTCTGATTGTTTGGGAGGCCCGATTTAAAATAGTGATTGTGTTAGTTGCTGAAACAAAAACTGAACTAAATAGTAGACTGACTATCTGAAAGATTGCTTTGAAAGAAAAATGTCTAAAAATTAATATTGATAAGATAGAGTATTTATGTTCAAACTTCAGTGGGAACCAAAACGATGAAGATGTAAAGGTATGCATCGAATGACACGTTCTCCCCACAAAAGATTGTTTCAAGTACCTAGGGTATATGATACATAAATATGGGATGTAGATGATGACGTTACACACCGTATAAAGACGAGATGGTTAAAGTGGAGGGCTGCTACTAGAATTTTGTATGACAAGAAAGAGCCTCTAAAACTTAAGGGAAATTTTTATAGAATGTCAATAAGATCAGCGCTGCTGTATGGATCAGAATGTTGGGCAATCAAGAAGGGTCACGTAAAGAGGATGAAGGTCTTAGAAATGATAATGTTTTGATGGGCATGTGATAGGACTCTGTGGGACATGACATCAAACTCTACAATTAGGATGTCCTTGGGGGTGGTGCATGTATCGGATAAATTGAGGGAGGGAAGACTACGATGGTTTGGGCATGTCCTTAGGCGACAACCGTTGGATGCGGTCAGGAGGGTAAAGTCGATTACAGCCGACGTTGCCAGAAGGAGAGGACGACCAAAGAGGAAGTGGACAGACTGCTTAAGAGCTGATTTGAAGGATTTAGCACTTAACGAGGACATGACCTCTGATAGGAAAATATGGAGACTTAAGATTAGGGTAGCTGAGTAGTATGGGTCACAATCATAGGGTGTAACATCTTTGTCTTCTTTTTAATGCCTTTGTAGTAATTTTCCATGACTTCTATTTTTTATACGTTTCTGTCATTGGAAATTATGAAGGCTTAGAACTAGGGTAGCGGAGTAGTGTTGTCTTAGTTTAGGTTTTAACTCATTTGACTTTATTCCCTCTCGTAGCTTGCTATCGCTGACTTCTGTGAATCCTTCTCTTCATGTTCCCTCTTTTTAAATTTAGTCGGGACTTACGTTTCTGTCGATATGCAGAGATTTTTACGCATGGATTTATTTGCAGGGATTACTTCCCATTACAGACGCGCATATAAAAGACTGCATATGAATATTGTCCAACTATATATTTATTTATTTATTTACTTATACATGCATTGCATTTTATCTTTATTTTTAATTTTCTGACTATCGGCGGTCTTCAACGGAAGTTGTTCTCAACCTGGCGTTGGGCGCAGCCTACTACCCTAGTTCCCCCTTACCCCATTGCATATGAGAATAAGGTTTTGTTGTTGTTGTTGTTGTTTAGCGGCAATGTATTCGCTTTCGTACCTTTTGTCCACCAGCTCTCGGGAGAAATTAATTTAATTTAGAGTAAACTACATAAATGGTCACTGCTTTTTGAGAACATTTTTTATTTTCCACTGAAGTTTTAAAAGTAACATGTTAGTCACTAAAGTTATCGATTTATAACAAACCGGTCAATCGTCATTAACAGCCGTTAGTTAAGTTACGGTAATTTGATGTGGCAGTTAGAAAAGTTATTTTAGTACCTTTAATAATACTTTGACCGGATCTTTGACTTACTCTTAGGGTGCGTTTGGTTCACTGAATGTAAGATTACCGACGAGAATAGGATTACCGGAATATAACATTACCTAACACATTACTCGGAATGTTGCATTGTTGTGTTTGGTTCATTTAGCAGGAATGTAAGATTACAGTGTTTGGTTAAAGGAATAAAATATTATTGGAATGTTTATTTTACCAAATTGTCCTTATTATATAATTATTTTTTAACAAGTTAAATTAACTATAATTTTACTATAATTAATTTATATATTTTCTTTAAAAATTTTAAATTCATAAAATTTATATACTTTTTTTTACAAAATTTAAAAGATAAATAAGTTTAATGAAAGGATAAAATTTTATTTTAACCCTAAACTTCATATAAAATTTTAATTATGGACTTTTTTTTTGTAAATCTAAAATAGTTTAAGAATAAATTTTCAATTTAACCTTCGTAGAATTTTTTTTATTCAACGACAGAAGAAGGATATTTTTGAAAAAAAAATTAAGGGTATTTTAGTCCAAAATACCGCGAATGTAACAATACCTTAGAGAATGAGGGAATCATATTCCCGGTAATAAGCCTCCAAAATACCACTGTTGGAAATAACTTATTATCGGTGATTGAGAATCTTTGCAATCCAAACGGGGAAATCACATTCTATTCCCCACGGTAATCTCACATAACCTGATCCAAACGCCGCTTAATATTTTTTTAACATAACGTTTAATCACAGTTTTGTTATTACCCTTCATCGGTAATGTTTTTGTTAAATCTGGGAAGAAACTTTGAAGAAGTGCCTTTGACATTGGCAGAGTCTGCTGCTGAGCGAAAAATCAATGTTTACTAACTGTTAGTCTCTTCATCGTAATGTTTTGTTAAATCTGGGAAAGAAACTCTTGTTTATTACCCTTGAAAAAGGAGTGTATTTTCCCAGATTAAAGGTGAGATTGGCGTTGAAGTTTTTTATGTTGATGAAGTAGTGCCTTTGACATTGGCAGAGTCTGCTGCTGAGCGAAAAATCAATGTTTACTAACTGTTAGTCTTGGAGAATGAATAATCATAGGACTTAGCACAGTGTGACGAGGGCTTTTACATTCAACTGAAGCTGATAGAATTGTGAATGTTGTGCTCGCCACACATGTTTGGCATTCAGCACCTTAAAACTTCGTTTCTTCAAGCTACAAGTAAAGATGAAGCTTTTGGGATTAACTGTGATTTCCGCTCCTTTAGGAGCTTTAATGGTGGCATTATATACATATTGAGGACTTACATTGTGACCCTTCTCATGAAAACACCTACAGTTTGCCTTTAACGCTGATCACGTGAAGCTGAATTGATGTGTGGTTAAGGGCATCGTAATCGAATCCCAGAAGCAAGGAGGAGCAGTTTAAGGACCTTTTGTCAATTAAATAAGCTATCGATGGTCTACTGTAGCCTTCATGGCATAGAAACTTGGTGCAAGTCATTTGATTGCAGTCGGTGTCCAAGTAGTGTGAAACGGTTTCACATAGGTGGCTACACCGGCAACATGCGACGAGTCCATGGAAGTGCGAAACGTTAGAGTGAACTTGGAATGATGGGTGTCTCCTTCTAATCCGAAGAGTAAATTCATGAGAATGTAAGCTGCCAAGATTCCCACACCAGGGGCTGCACCTGCAATATATCAGGTTGTATATATACAATAAGTTTAGACGAACATGCTCACGAGAATGTAAGCTCGGAATCTATTTCCACCAAAAGCCACCGTAATAATTCTCTTCTTTATGGCATGAAATGCACTAACTGATATAGAAACCGTGAAGAAATCCCCAGTCACCCTACCTACAGATATCGATATAATATGAACATCTACACTGTCACTGATTGTATCGTTCATGGTGGCGAAGATGTACATATCGGCACATCCTGAGCTAACCCAACACATTTTTGTGGGAGCTTGGCTATCCTATCCGATGGCTTTTCAAATGTTCCAAAGCTTTGGATAATAAAGATCAGGATAGCGTTGCATGTTTTGTTTGCATGGCGTGCCCTCACAATGCTGTTCTTCTTTGTTCATCCCATTACAGGGTTGTCATCCCTAAATGTACGGAATTAGCTTTCGATACTCAAACTGCCTTGACGACAAGTACAATAAGTTCCACAGTAAAGTAGTCTCATCCAATTGTGAAGAATCATTTCTTAGTTCTATTGATGATTCAGTTCTGGCAGCCTGTTCCAGTTGGCCTCTCGAAAAGTTTGAACTTACTAAATTTTTATGTCCACTTTGCAGGGGTCAGGTGAAAGGCTGCATTGTGATGGAACCTGCTAGGGAATATTTAAATTCCAAAAAGATATGTTGTATGCAGAATGACTGCATTTTTGTTAGGTCTTCCAAGGAACTTAGGAAACACATGAAAGCAGATCATCCATGTGCTCAACCGCGCAAAGCGAAGCTGACCCTTGAGAAAAAATGAAAGGCTTGAACGGGAGCAGGAGAAATAACAGAGCAACGGTAATAACAAAACTGTGATTAAACGGTTATTTTAGGGGAAAAAATATGAAAATTGAATCAATCAAAAAATTATGAATTATTCGAATTGATAAATCTGAAATTTTTAAGAGTCAAATTTATAAAATTTAGGTCGAGTTAAATCGAGTCAATTTTGTGAATTTCTATTTAAATTTAATTATAAATATTTATAATATTACTTTATTCCCATTTGAGTGAATTTCTATAATCATTTATACAAAATTTAAAAACTGAATCAAACTTAAAAATAAATCCACTAAATATTAAAAATTTTGAGTAAGTTACATTTTACAATTTGATTTGAACTTAAAAATTTTTTTAGTCTTCGAGTTTAGTTTTTTCGAGTCTAATTGAATAAAAAAAATAAAATTTTTGAGTAGAATCGAGTTTTGCTTACCTATGTTCACGGGGTTAACCGGTATAAATCCAGTAAGGCAAATTACTGAAACATCAACAAAAACAATTAGTAATTTCATACAAATCAAAAGGAAAACACCTCCAAAATTGGTAAACTACAGCATAATTCTCCAATGAAAATATTGTTCGATCCAATCATTCCAAGCAACAGAAAGTGCAAATTGCAAAATCCATAACATTCTCAAAGAAAAAAAAATCGAAACGAGAGAAGAAAGTTTCTCTAACAAGCCTACAAATGTTTTATTATTAAACTTCACCATATCAAAGTGATTATTGGCGGTACACAGAGAAAACTGAAAACCCACTAAGTTTCTAAACCTATGAAGAACATCATAGTAGCATACCGTAAACATTTTAACAGTAAGATTTTTAGAAAAAGAAGAATAGAAACCTAATCCCCTTCTTCCAAGAGGCAGACGATTACCTCACAGGAGAGAAAAGAAAGGCACAAAAGAAAGTACCGGTACTCTGGTACAGTGATGATTCTTTTACTCATTTTCCTTGGCTTGCACTCAACATTCTTCCTCTCGAGATAAAAATACAAAGGAAGAATATGATGTCCCAATAGCAAGATCCGGATTCTGCAATGGAAGTGATATTAAATCCAGCTTTTTAACAACCGATGCAATAATCAAGGCGATGCCTTAGCTGTTCTTCCCAAAAAAACAGGGACCGGAAGCGAACTAGGTGGCGGCGAAACAAAAGAAGCGGAACCGGCATACGAACCACCGATCTTGAATTCCTTCAGCTTAACTTGCTTTTGCATCGTTTCTGGATCTGGACCCAACCGATTCGTCGACCCCAATGCCAAATCAAACTCCTCGTCGGTCGTCCTGAGATCGGTCTTCTTCTCCGCGGCGGTGGTCAAGGTTTCGCCGCGTTTCAAGATCTTGACCTGGCCCATCACTAGATTCTTCCCGGGAGATTTGGCCACCATGGATTCCGCTTGCCTTCTGTTATTCGACTGAAACCCTAGGGGGGGACTCCCCTTTCTATTGTTCGGTTTAATCAACCTAGGGTTAGGATTTCGACGGTATCTAAAAGGACAATCTAAGTTCAAGGTTTCACGGCGGAACCGATGGCGGAGATAGCCTTCGGTGGGGAGAACGGCGGTGGCCATTGGATCTTTAACAAATGACAGGAAGAAATCAAAAGGGGGAAATGAAGGAATTTCCCAGTAAACTATTTTCTGGGAAATTAGAGATACGAAAGGGCGTATTTATAGGAATTTCCTTGGAAACATGTAAGTCTCACGTGAGTTCCTTGCACCGCCTTTGGGTAATGATTGGGTCACGTGCACAGGTTACACTCTGCATACGTGGAGCTGCTTCAGTTGTTTTATTTTATATGTCTAAATTTATCTTTTAGTTCTTATATTTTGTTTAATTTTTACTTAAGTGAATAATTTATAGTAATACTTTAAAAAATAGGTTATTAATAAAGTTTATAATAATTATAAAAATATTAAGATAGAAATAATATTTAATCATTAAATGGAAATAATAATTTTATCTGAATGTTTTAAAAAATATTTTAACATTTTAAAATAGTATATTTTAAAACATTAAAAAATAAAACATTAAATTTATCTCAAATTTTATACCTAGTACCTTAAATAATTTATCCTAACAATATTTTCTAAAATAAAACATATAAATATTGATGTAATCCAATTTTATCCAAACATTAATCATGATTTATATATTTCTACTTATTTGGATAAATGTATCGTACTAATATTAAATTGCATCAATATTATATGGTTTTCCAACAACAACAAAATACTGTTGTGATAAATCATTTAAAATAAGTATATTATTTTTTACACATTAATTTATGGTTAGAATAAATATTGTCTATTAATTAGTAATTAAATATGGGTTAAGAGAATAAGTCTATAATGCATGTCGTATACCGCAATGTACCACTAAAACGACGTATCAAATCATATCACGAGTAAATTTGTTCTTATTATATAAATATTAAAAAGTATAAGGATTTGTTTAAAATTATTCATTTATTAAATTTTAATTTTAATAAAATTATAGTTCTTAATAAAAATAATAATTAATTTAAGTAATTTAATTTGATTAGAAATAGTAATTTTAAATTATAAAGTTAGAACTACCATCATAATCGGTCATCGTCGGTGAATTCTTGACTTGTCGAAAAATCAATTGCCTTAACATCTAGTGTTTCTGTTGTCGTCCAAATTCACAATCGCTCATTTCTGCGTTGCCCAGCATCGTCCATCCAAAGGAAAAGCTCTGCCCCGTCATTTTTTATTTTTCCGTTGTTTTGCTTTTCTTTTTTTTTTTACACCGGTGACCTTCAAAATATCATCCCCGACCGTCAGTTGGCCTAGCCAAACCAACCACGATCGTCGTCCTCTTTCGTTCCCAACCACCGCCGCGTGTAAGGCCTCACAGTTCACTCTGATCGTTTTGTTTTATTTCGGATGGTTAAATTGCCTGAAACCCCCCATAGTTTCCTCCACTAACAAATATGGGGCGATGTAATGTGATTTTGCGATTAACAAACTATAAACTTACATGCTCAAATTGGAGAGACGACCGAAGTGAACTGTAAGGCCTTACATATGGCGATGGTTGGGAACGAAATAGGACGTCGATCATGGTCGGTCTAGCTAGCCCGGCCGACGGTTGGGGATGATGTTTCAAAGGTCACCGGTGTAAAAAAAATAACGGGAAAACAAAAGATGACAGGGTAGAACTTTTCCTTCGGACGGACGGCGTTGGGCGATGCTGAACTGAACGATGACGAACTGGGACGGCAACGACATCGCTAGATGTTATGGTAATTGGTTTTCCGGCAAGTCAAGAGTTCACCGGTGGTGACCGATTATGATGGTGGTTCTAACTTTATAATTTAAAATAACTATTTCTAATCAAATTGAATTACTTAAATTAATTATTATTTAAAAAAAATTATAATATATTAGAATTAAAATTTAATAAATGATTAATTTTAAACAAATCCTTATATTTTTTAATATTTACATAATAAAAATAAATTTGCTTGTGGTTGGATTCGGTATGTCGCTTTAGTAGTATATGACGTACGCATGTCGCTTTAGTAGTATACGACGTACGCTTTAGACTTATTTGGGGTTAAGATAACAATTATTTAATTATTAAATCATTTAAAATAATAATTATCCCGTCTAATACTAATTAAATCAATGTTGGTTAAAATAATTCTTAAATTATCTATTGTAAAGTACTATAAAATAAAATTATCTATTATAATGAAGTATTTTTTAAAATAATGACAATTGAATTTCATTAATAAAAACAATGAAAGTAATCATATAAAGAGAAAATTGAAGACAATAGTAATCAAAAACTCGTACAAAAAATAAAAGTATTAAACCCACAATACGCATAATAATATAATTTCATTTGAGATTGACGACTAACATAAAAAAAAACTCAGTAACTTTCATAAAAATGCATTGTCTCTATCCAACGAGAAGTGATAAAGTGTGATGAGTGAACCAAACTATCTGACAGGCTACTTTACGATACAATGTTGATTATATATACAAATAATCTTTTTCTAAATATAAGATTTGACTATACGTAACCACCGACAAACCATTTAGAAAATAAATGTCATGAAGATTTTTGTTAAACATTAAAACGACCACAAAAAGTATACGAAAAACGTACCAAAAGTCATAAGGATTGTGCTACAAGAGTAGAGAAATCACGTGTTACAAGAGTAGAGAAAAATGTGTCACAATGACATAAATTTTTTATTCAAAATTTAAAAAAAAAACTTAAGAAAAAACAAAAAGTATAGTATGAAAAAAAAACTAATAATTACTGACAATCGGTAATCAATATTGAAATTAATACCACCGGATGAAAAAAATAAAAAGAAAATGAAAGGCAACAAAAATGTTTTTAGAAAGAAAACTACGTTAAAGAAAGGGTTCTTTTTTCTTTTATCTATTACAATGAAATTAAGTTTATTTAAATTATTTAATGTGTATAACACATAAGTTGTTATTGTTATTTATTTTTAACAGTAAATATGTATTTATTAATGGTTAAAAGACTAAATTATTTTATAATTATATAAATAATATTTAATTTTAAATATTTTATTAATTAATAATATCTTAATTTCTATTAAATAATAATCATATTTTTTTAGTTATAACTAAATTAACCATTCGAACTAACATAAATATCATAATGAAAATTCCGTTACTTCTAAAAGTCAAGATTCTTTTTTCTTTTTTTGATTGATCTAGAGTAAGTATAAGACAATATATGTTTAAGAATAACTCTTTACAGAGAGTTGATATACACATTTGCTCTGAACCTGTTGCAGATAGAAATTAGAATATTAAAACTTGGAAAATTCTACAACGCACGTCGCATACCACAACGTACTACTAAAGTGGCATACTGAAACGTATCACAAATAAATTTGTCTTTATTATATAAATATTAAAAAATATAAGAATTTATCTAAAATTCACCATTAATTAAAATTTAGTTTTGATTTTAATAGAATTATATTTAAATTATGATTTTTATTAAAAATAATAATTAATTTCAGTAATTTAATTTGTTTAGTACTAGGATTTGTAAATTATTTAAGTTAAGAATGACTATTAGTAGCAATCATCGCCGGAGACCTTAACCAGCCAAAAAAAACTCGTTGAAAAATTGGTCGACAACTATTCTATTACAAATCCAACTATCTGCACACGACATGATTATATAAAAATAATGCTAATTAAACCAAATCCAACCGGTTGGAAACATTAGACAACTACTAGTCTCAACTCAAGACACTACAACAAAATAGGTGTTTAGCGGCGTTTTTCTAACCCTATAACGGCGTTTATAAGTGCCGCAAAAAGCATTCTCGGCGCTCGCAAAAACACCGCAAGAAGTGCCGTTATAACGAGCGCCGTAATTGTTAGCGGCGTTTTTTTAAAAGAAACGCCACAATAGGTCGAGACATTTAGCGGCGTTTGTCTTTGAAAACGTCACTATTGACTTTGTATTTAACAGTGTTTATCTTTACAAACGTTGCTATTGACTGTGTATTTAACGGCGTTTTTCTTTACAAAGGCCGCTATTGACTGTGTATTTAGCGGCGTTTATCTTTACAAACGCCGTAATTGACTGTGTATTTAGCGGTGTTTATCTTTACAAACGTCGCTATTAACTATGCATTTAGTGGCGTTTATCTTTACAAACGCCACTATTAACTGTGTATTTAGTGGCATTAGTAATTAAAAACGCCGTAAATAAGCCCATTAATTGTGGCATTTTCATCTAAAAACGCCGCAAATGACATTATTAGGAGTAGCTGCATAAGTTGCATAAAACACCATTAAAGACATTCTTCACACCCACAGTAATAATCAATTCTACAAATCAAAGCATAAATTGCATATATTAAATAAAAACAAGTCACTTGAAATTAGGGATGGCAACAGGCCAGGTTCGGGCCGGGTATTGGTCTCCCCATTCCCGTCCCCGTCCCCGTTTAAAAAACTCATACCCGTCCTCGCTTAAAAAACCGCAGGGATTTAAATGGGGATCCCCATCGGGTAATCGGGGAAAACCGCTGGGAAACGAGTTTCCCCGTTTAGCATAAACGGTTATTTAAACGGGTATCGGACCGGGTATATATATATTTAAATTAAATATATAAATATTATATATATATTTAAATTTAAATTAAATTTATTAATATTATATATAATAATAATTATTTTTAATATTTATCGAGCCGAGTATCGGGCCGGGTAATCGGGTAATCGGGGCGGAGATTACCAAACCCGTCCCCGTCCCCGTTTAACATAAACGGTTTTTCTCCGTCCCCGTCCCCGTTTAGCATAAACAATTTTCCCCCGTCCCCATTTACTCGGTTTTTGATTTTCCCCGTCGGGTTCAGTTTTTTTTGTCATCTCTACTTGAAATAGAAGGGTGGAAAACATTAATATAACAAAAATACATACAAATGTATACATAAGTGTTACATATACTAGAAACAAAAAAGCAAACTAGTTGCATGTGTATTTTCACACTTCCCACTTATAACTCTAATATACAATGGCAATCTTTCCCAACTTCTCGCTATGGACACCCAATAATACTGTTTAAGAGTGATCAGCCTTGTAATCAAAGTTTAACATGTCATGCGACATATGAGGCTCATTTGTGAGCTAGAACAGGAAACAAAAAACTATCAATGTGTTTACACAAGAAAAACATATACTTTGCAACTAAACAAGAAAGAAAAAAAAGACTTAATGATATATGAAAACATGATTTATTTGAGCATTGGCCTTCACAGTAAGATTGTCTGTTAAATCCCATTTCACTCTTGCATTGAGTCTACCATCAGTTAACACCCTCCCAATAAGCATCAACTAGAAGACCATAATTGATCCTATTTATAACTTGATTTATTAAGATAAAAGAATTGAGGACAAGAGGGTGAATGAGAAGAGTAGAGATAATGAGTGAAGCCACCTACATTCGGGTCAATGAAGTTGGCACCAAACTTATAGTGAGATGTGGGAATTTTAATGGTTTCAGGAGATTGAGAAGGAATTTCTGTTGGGCCCATAAAGACAATGAGAAATGTTTGAGAACAAACATATATAAGGTATTGATCATTGAGGATGGGAGACAAAGATGGAAGTTAGTTCAAAGGAATTGATTTGTGTTTCATAACACAACCAAATACATAGAATGGGCAATTATCACCTGTGCACCTCTAAATGCCTTATATGTTTGTTGAACCATTTTTTTTCCTCAGAACCCCACACCACCCACCCAATAAAACAATTTTTATTCTTCAGAAAGCACAACTTAAGTTGACACAGCAGGCTAAAGCTACTGATAGAAAATTACCTGTTACACAAGAAATTTCCAAAATGATAGGAAAGAACACTGTCCAAGAACTCCACTAGGAAAGCCTAAACCACCACAAAGCAAGAAAGTCAATAACTATGGGAAAATACAGAGAGGACAACGTTACAAAAAATGTATTATATTCGATATGACAATAAATTAATGTCATGCATAAAAGGAAGATGCATATTGAGGATAACTCGAAAGAAATACATATATCTTTAACAACTGAGAAATGCAATCAACCCACTGCAAAACAACCAACACAATCAGATCTCAAATTAATCAGTGAACTGAAATTAATATGATATTTATTATTTACATGTTTCATGAGAAATTGAAGCCTCCAAAGATTTTTAGTGAAAATACAAACGTGCCCTACTAGTTTGGGAAAGTCCTTTAAACAAAAAAACATGGAATTAAAAAATCCATTTTGCATCTAATTTTCAGCATATTTCATTAACCTTTTAACTGTTCTTTCATGTTATTTCTTGTTAAAGGAAAATAAAATGTGTTTAAAACTAAAAGAAGGAATCTTCTACCAAATAATTATAATAATTTTCCCTTATAAAATCAAAATTCCATTAGCTGTGAAAATTATCTACAATGAAAACAACTTCAGTGAGAAAATAACCAAAAATAACCAAAAATATCTCAGCATGTGCACCAGCAAGAATATGGGGGAATAATTGTTCTACGCATGAGATGAATTAGAAGCTTGAGGTGTGAATGATCCTGAAGATTAGCGCGCAGGAGAAGATGAAATACTTCCAGTAAAAGATTGTTTGGTTAAATAAAATGAAGTTCCAAACACACTTGGTAATCCGATGCGATCTGCGAAAGGGTGACCAAATGCTAGCCAATCTTTTTCAACAAGTGCCTGTATTAAGATAAAATAGTCCAGAACAAGACATTACTATACATTGGCCAAGCTCTTGTCACATAACATCTTAACAAACTACTATAATGACAAATTGGGCGTGTTAGTAGTCTACTTGTTCATTTTATGAAATCCAGAGACACTGCTACCACAAATCTTAATCATCAATTTCTTTCATAAAAATTTCGTTTAAGATCAATTAAAAAGAAATTACCAACTAAGTTTCTCTTTCTTTCTTTAAAGAGAAAAAAGAACCGCATCAATGGTCTAAAGATATAATTGCAGTCAACAAAGAAAACACATACACACAAAATGAAGAAATAAGAGAAAACTAACTGAGAGCTTCAAGATGGAGTTCTTCATAAGGAATAGGGCAAGGAAGGTTCATGTAATCGGGTTTCTCGTCATGTTTAGTGTGAACCGTGTGGGAAACATCGGCCGGAACCACCGTAGTCCAGGAGGTACAAGCCCCACCATTTTTGGTCTATTGTTTCTGAAGAGGAATTTGCCGCAAGATCAAAACGGCCGCGAGAGTGAGGGTAAAGAAGAAGAACAAATGCTGCAAACATTGGGTTTCAATTTCTAGAGAGAGATGCTTTGATTAGGGGTTTATGTTTAACTTCTGGCGACACATCAAAAATAGGTGAAATGGGAAAATTAAAAAAGGTTAAAAGGGGTCGGGATTTAAAAATTATAAACTTGCGGCGTTTGTGTTTACAAACTGTTTACAAACGCCACTAAAGCACGAGTCTATAGCGGCGTTTGTATAAAAACGCCACTAAATTACGAGTCTCTAGCGGTGTTTTTATAAAAACCCCACTAAAGTACGAGTCTATAGCGGCGTTTATATAAAAATGCCACTAAAGTAAGTCTTTAGCGGCGTTTGTATAAAAATGCCACTAAAGGTACGAGTCTTTAGTGGCGTTTGTATAAAATGCCACTAAAGTATGATTCTTTAGTGGCGTTTGTATAAAAACGCCACTAAAGTACGATTCTATATCGTCCTTTGTATAAAAATGCCACTAAAGTACAGTCTTTAGCGACATTTTTATAGCAACGCCACTAAAGTACAATCTTTAGCGGTGTTTTTATAGAAACGCTACTAAAATATGAGTCTTTAGCGGCGTTTGTTCAAAAAATGCCGCTATAAACCCATTTTGTTGTAGTGAGAGATAAAATGGGCTGATGCTATGAGTGAGTAAGACAAAAAACATCAAAAGGAGGAGGTTGAAGATAGGGTTGAAGAAGTCCATTGCTGCCGAGAGAGAAAGGGGGTTTAACATGTGCCAATGCCATGACTTCACTCTGTCTATATAAAGATATGTTGGTTGATGTGGCTTGCTTACATTGCGGCAGAAGTACACTGTAAGCAGGCCGAAGTTGACATCCGAGGGCTTGAGGAGTTGTACTCTGACCCTGGTGGAGTGATGGAATATGAAGAAGACCGAAACCGACCAAAAAGGAGACGGCATCCAAGATCTTGAAGATAGAGAACTGCCACCGATTGGGTCGGTGTTTAGTTGCTTTAAAATTTTAGAATCACACCAACTTGTAATGAACCATTTGTCTATTCCTTTTTAATTTGGGAAGAACAGGTCTTGATCTAGTGGTGCGGCTCAAACATTTCAAGCTATTAGAACCCAAGATACAATTCAAGTTATTGTACCTTTTTTATGGTGTGCACTTCATACATTGTACACCATGAAGAATCCTTATATCTTGCATATAGTTTTATGTACAAGTGTTACTAAAAAAATTAGATGACATTAATGCTAATAAAATAGAAGCAAAAAGGACCCCAAAAACATGAATAAAAGATGAAATCATAGCACCCCAAAAACCATCTGCTGCTGCTTTGTTGAAAGATGGATCAGTGTTCTTCATTTGAGAGATTCAAACAGATAGATCTAGGGAAATCTTACGAGTGTGTACGTCAAAAGAGCTAGGGTTCTTTTTTTCTCTTTCTTTCTCTATAATTATTAACCAAACCGGAAGGACCTACCAAAATATTTTATACTGTTTCCTACCAAAAACCATCCCATCCATCATCCACTCAATATATGAATTCTCAAAAAAATTATCTTTAGGAAGTTTGTTTTTTATAGAATATTTAGGAAGTTTGTTTTTTTATAGAATAGTTACTGTCGGCTAAATTGTGCTTACATTTAGATTTAAGATACAATTTTTGATATCAGATGTAATTTCTCAAAACCGTTGGATTTGTAATAGAATATTTTCCAACGAGTTAAAGGTCTCCAACGATGATTGCTTTTAATAGTCATTCTTAAATTAAATAATTTATAAATCATGATACTAAAAAAATTAAATTACATTGATTATTATTTTTAATAAAAAAATCATAATTTAAATATAACTATTAAAAGTAAAATGAAATTTTTAATTAATGGTTAATTTTAGATAAATTCTTATACTTTTTAATATTTACATAAAGACAAATTTGTTTGTGATACGTTTCGGTACACCACTTTAGTAATACATTACGGTATGCAATGTAATCCCTAAACTCTTTCATTCAAACCTTCAATATCGAAATCTACATTAAAATAGTTCTGATACCTACAAATATCTAAACCTGCATTATCCATCATCATACCTAAATTCAACTTTATCTCGAATCGAGTTCAAGCTTTTAAAACAACACTTAATTAGCATGCTTATATAAAATGATTGTCCAGCAATCATCTGTTCCAGGATTTCAAAAGAAACGAACGGACTCTTTTTAAGTCTTGGAAAGTTCTTGGCTACGCTTGGCAGCGGCCACAACCGCATTCATCAATGTTCCCCGGAAGCCATTCTTCTCTAGCTCGTGAATGCCGGCGATCGTAGTGCCACCAGGCGATGTAACTTCGTCTTTCAGCTGACCAGGGTGCTTCCCAGATTGAACGGCCAGAGAAGCTGCTCCCAAAACCTGCAAAAGATATGAACCTAGTTATCATCTAACAACAAGCAGCTTCTAGTTTTCCCCCATTTTCTTAATGAACCTACAACTACCAAGTACATTGCAATCGAAGTAAAACGATTTACTACAACCATGTGACAAAGCATTTCCGTCGTCATATCAATTAAAAACGGGTTTCAGGTAAGCACACACATAATGCATGAAGTAGAATTGACTTACAGTCTGAGAAGCCAGTCCCAATGCTAGTTCTCGTGGAAGACCGGCAGCCACTCCGCCATCAGCCAAAGCTTCAATCGCTAAATATATATATGCCGGACCACTTCCACTGGATATTTTCAGGAAACATATATATTGTTAATCTAACATTGGTGGATAATCGAAAATAAACGACGGGGGAGAAGAAAAAGGAAACGACTTGCATTCAGATAATAGCATGCAGGGACTATTTAGGCGTACTAATGATACCTAAGGCCAGTGACAGCATCAAACAGTTTCTCATCAGCTTTCCATATCTTGCCAACTGATCCAAATAATTTCTCAACTAATACCCCATCCTGTTCTGTTGCAGATTCTCCCAAGCTCATAACTGTACATTATGGAAAAGGATTAGATATTTTTATGGTCACGCATCGGTCAGCAAGACGATATATGATAAAAGATTGCAGAACAAACTTGTGGGACTAGGAAGAATCATATTTTACAAAAACATGTGATAAAAAAGATGATGATTTGCTCATATGCATTTAATGTGGAAATGATTATACCTGATGCTGCCATACCAACAGCAGATGGTGTGTTAGGAATCACCCCGGATAAATCGGCCTTGGCCAGCCCATTCCTGAACAAAATAAAATTACTATTTTAAAGACGAATCTGACACCACAATTGCACATGAAGGAAGTGAGAGTCTCAAGGAGTACTAAGTTATAAGAATTAAGAGAAAATAATGACTGGAAAAGCGTTGCCGTTCATATCATAGCAAATTGATTTCTTTTACAAAGTGGTCTAGTATGGCCATTTGGCTAAATCTTCCTGATAGAAATAAGGACAAGGAGAAAAAGGAATTTCTATAGTTACTTAGACAGGTTCTTTCAATGTCAAGCAAGAAGCAACGACTATTTTGCGTCGGTTTTGCTTTGAGAAAAGAAAGACAAGATCAGTTTAAAAGAATTCGCTCATGCTTCATCTGAAAATATGAATCTCGGACTGCAAATTTGGAACTTGCTTATATGTTATGCTGAAAACATGAATCTTTTAAATCACAATATGTTATGCTTCTGTGAATAACATGGTAATGCATAATTTATGGTAGCACCATGTTTTTTACGCTTTTCTAAAGGTAAATAACTTGAAAGGACATACCTGCAGATCCTTCAGTTTTATTCCAGCAGCAATGGAAACCAAAAGCTTTTTCTTCGAAAGTAACGGCCTCAGCTGCAAGACCACATTTTTAACTGCAAGCCACCAAGGAGATGTTTTAGACTTAAAACAGAAGTCTGAAAATGCACCCGAAGATGTTCTGCATGCATACTTTTTTTATTTTCTAATTTTCCTATATGATATCCCTCTCTATTCAAGTACAATATCATGACTGAATTAGTAAAATGCAAAACTTTGAAAACCATAGGCATAACGCTAGCATTATCCCCAACGTTTACTATTATGGTCCTTTTACCTCTTTTTTTTTTTAGTATTTTGCCCCATAAGTAACATTTTAGGGTAAAAAGGCCATAACGTTTGATCAAATTGTCACCACCCTTCTTTTTTCCTGAAACATTTTGGCCCTCAACATTTCATTTTAGGGTAAATAAGACCCCTATTTCATAGCATTAACCATTTGTTAAATAACGATTTCCATCCATAGAGGGGCCTTTTTGCCCAAAATAAAATGTTGGGGCTAAAATGCTAAAAAGAATAGGGATCAAAGTGACTATTTAGTCAAAACATTGGGGTCCTTTTTTAACATTATGCCAAAACCAAAACCATGGTGGTCTATGAGTGATGTCTTTACAAGAAGTGATCCGTGTGTAAACGTGCTTGAGATAAAAGCAAAATAGACAGGGCCATGCTTTGCTACATTCGTTAAACTACCAATACTATATCAACTCTTTATCTACAATAAGGTAAAATAACAGAAACATTCACTTTTCTCTCCTACTAGACAGACCTAAAATATAAAAAGGTGAGAAGAAAGAAATAGAAAACTATTTTCCACTCCAGCTGACAAAGACAAAGACAGACTCTTCCTTTTCAACCATACCGAACAATAGAAGGAAGGACAACTTTTCCTTCTTCCTACCAAACACATTTATGGAAAACATAATATGTTTTCCATCTTTATCAAGATGTTTGAGTAAAAAAATACCTACGGCAAAAATGGAATTGTCAACTCTAGAATTTCAAAAACAAAAAGGGAAGCGCGCAGAGGGACGAAAGTGGAAACACTCAAGCTAATTGCATTACGTACTTGGGGCTTCACTGAAAAAATGATCACATCACTAGCATTCACAACCTGTTTTCATGTAAATTCATATGCTGGATCAGAAACAAACCAAAAATAAAAACACCTACATTATTAAAACTTAAGAGCATATAAATCTGAAAAGATCAATTAACTGCCCCCCTCCCCTCCAATTTTATTTATAAACAAATATCAACAAAACACAATTTATGTTTTTAGCCATCTGCTTTCTATTGAGCCCTTAATAACACATCCCTCTGAAAATCTCATTCTTGAACATCCAATGGCTCCAGAATGGAGGTCTGGTGGACACATTCTTGAAGAGCAGCCGACAGTCGCACTGCCAAACAGTCCACAGGCTATTTGGATAGGCTTATGATGATCCTGACATCCATAGTCGTTAGGCATCAAGCTACACCCACCCAGGGCCATGCATAGATCATTTAAGACTACTATCTCTCCTGAGAGAGGAACCAGTAATCTCGGTCGGCTCTTCTCCCTTTCTCATTGCAGACTTGCAAATGAGTAGCTCACCCTTGTGCTCTTCCATCTCCTTACTCAGCCACTACCCAAGCTCTAAGAGCATCACTCCTTTCGACCATCATCTCACCCAACTCATCGAGACGTGTACCTCGTCCTTGAACTCGTTCTCCATGGACTCCAACTTGTCAAGACGTGACACCACAACATCATGGGTCTCCTTGGCCTCCTTCTTAAATTCCTCAAGCCTAGTGACCCTATTCTCCAACAATGATATGACATCCTCAGACTTTCCCTCTTCCGTTTCCCACCACGAGTCTCCACTTCCTCTCGTGGAGAAACATCATCTCTTCTCGTGCAGCATGAACTAGCTTGATCACTACAAGAACTAGCTCCAACGTCAATACTCACCAAGCTCGATTGCCTACTGCAATTTGGCTCAGATACCAATTGCAACTCGCTCTTCCACTTATTCCTCTTTCTCTTTTCCTGGGAGTAGGGAATCCAAGCCCCGGCCTTTACTCACAGCTACTGTCATTACCCCACGGTCACCGGTCTCCGCCCGAATAAGTGGTGAACCACCCTCAAACAACACCATACTTCCCCTCCTCTGGTGAACCACCCTCAAACAACACCATACTTCCCCTCCTCTACCTATACGCCAACACTTTCCACTATGCAAAGAGTTAAAATATGTGCATACAAATGGTGGAAAGCAAAATCAGATAAGCCAAGTTAGTCCCAAATAAACTCCCAAAAGTATAAACTTGTTCATAAAAACATTTTTGCACAATAACCAAAGTAGAAAAGAAAATACTAATTACTTTACTACCTGAGAGTGAAACAAATATCTTATTTCCAATCATTCAACATAGTAAAATCAATAATGAACCCATTTTTTTTCTTTCTCCAAGAACCAAAATGAGAAATAGTAAA